TGAAGAAAAGAGTGAAGGGGCGTGAAGATTTTTGGCAAGTAGAGAAAGTGGGCTATAGGTTATATACTACAAGAAATAGTAGAGAGCTTGATGGGATTTGACTTTAAATATGTTAATTATTTTTGTTTTCTCTTTGTCTCATTTGTGCAAAACTGGAGGTACTTTACCATGTATGATTATGTCCAGTTTTCTTTAATAAAATATTGAAGAAACCTGGTTCAGTAGAGATATACCAACGAAACATTAATATTTATGTACATGTATTTGCTGATAATAATTGTAATAATTGTGGCAAGGGATACTTTTATATCTGTGTAATAATTGTTCCAAATCCACAAGTTAAAATATAGTTTTCTATTCTCAATACCCATTGATTCTTTTGTTTTCAAATTTTTTTGGCCTAGTATTAAAGAATGGTGGTTATTTGGATGTTTGGTGGTTATTTTATGTTCTATGTTCAACTGATGGTTATTTTGATGGGGTCAGTCACAAATTTTGCCTTGTTTGATGATGCTCACTGTTTAATTGATGGTTGTTTTGATGGGATCAGTCACAAATTTTGCCTTGTTTGGTGGTTATTTTGATGTTCTCTGTTGAATTGATGGTTATTTTGATGAGATCAGTCACAGAGTTTGCATTGTTTAATGGTTATTTTGATGTTCTCTATTGAATTGATGGTTATTTTGATGGATCAGTCACAAAGTTTGCATTGTTTAATGATTATTTTGATGTTCTCTGTTGAATTGATGGTTATTTTGATAGGATCAATCACAAATTTTTCCTTGTTTGGTGGTTACTTTGATGTTCTCAATTGAATTGATGGTAATTTTTAATGGGATCAATCACAAATTTTGCCTTGTTTGGTGGTTACTTTAATGTTCTATATTCAATTGACAGAATATTAAAGAATGGTGTGTTTTTCTGCATACGGTATCATTCCAGCGATGATTTCAAGTGTAGAGTTGATGTTAGAAAGATGGAGACATCATGAAAGCAAGGAGATCAAAGTATTCCAAGAATTTACAATTTTGATAGCAAAAATTATTTCCAAGACAACTTTTGGAAGCAATTAATTAGAAGGGGAAAATATATTTAAAATGTTGACAAGCTTGAGTGTAACATAGCCAAAAATCATTATCGAAATCATTATAAAATTAAGTCTCCTGATCTGATAAGGCAAAGCTTTCTCTGTAATATTTGTAATTTGTGGCTATTTGGTATTGCACTTTTGCTTCTCTATTAATTCTACAGTCCTATTTTTTTATCTTTGCACAAAGTTTGTGGAAACGTGTTTTCTTTGTATTGAAATCCCTATTCTTATTGGGTTCAATTGACAAAATTTTCTTATATATATGCACCGCGAATTTACGATTTGGATTCTTATTTTTGGGATATTAGTAATGTAATACATAATTTTATTTGGGTTTCAATTGACAAATTTTAAATATAAATGCAAGTTTATGGTTGCAGCAACTATAAGGACAAATTGGTAATTCTACAGGTTTTAAATTTTTAAAATTCCAACGGTAACTTCATTCATTTAAAACATCATTTTTAACCCAAAAAAAAAAATAAAAAAAAAATAAGAAGGACAAATTGGTAATTTAATTACCATATATAGTTGAGGGCATGTTAGTAATTTCATATTTAAAGAGTGAGTATATTGGTAATTGTTTGTTGATATGAAAAAAATAATAAAGCTAAATATTTAAGGGTATTCTTGTCTTTTCAATCAACTTTAACAGCAAACGCTAACAGAACCTGATGGAGGGTGGGAATGTGTCATTTTGAAACTTGACGGGTGCAAAAGTGTCATTTCGCCAAACCTTGGGTGGGACAATACCATTCTCGCTATAACTAAATGTGATTTCTTTAGTGGGTTTTTAGATACAATTTCATTTAATATAATAAAAATGTTTTCCTTGATTCTTTTTATAATATTATATCTCAAATTTTGTTTTAAAAGTTTTAAAAAGCGAGTTTATTGATATTCTTTTTAAACTCATTTATGGTTCATTTTGTAATGTTTATTCAATATACTATATTAAACTAGATTTTATGAAAAATTTTAGCTATTTGCCTTTATAAGTGGAAAAAGAAAAGCTCATCATCCATTGGACAATAACTTATTTTAAACAATAAGTGATTTTGAAAAATTTTAAAGTTGTTCGAATATATTTTTAAATATAAACTATTTTATGATTTGTGATAGAAGCTCAAATTAAGTTTTTTTTATTTTATAACTTATTTAAAGTAATGAAACTTAAAAAATATCTCTATTATATTTTATGAATTTGACTTAATTTATTATTTAATGTTAAAACCTTTTTGGTAAATTAATATTAGAAAACTTTTATGTTTTTTATATAAAAAACAAATAATTTTCATAAATTTTACTCTAACAACAAATTTGTTTAGAGAAAGGAAACTCATTTTGAATTCTATTACCTTGTGCAATCATACTGTTAATACTCCAATAATGTTGGTTCTTTTAGTCAAAATTTAGTGTCAAATTAACTAATCACATCGCTGTTATTTCCAAGTTTAATTAATGGTTCAAGTCTTAGACAAACAATCAATTAATTTGAGAGGACGGCAACTTTCTCCCATATGATTTGCCTCGCCAATAATAATATATACACTGAATTATCAAGTAAGTTATTTGGCAAATCTATCTTTACATTTCAATATAACATCTGAATTCTGAAACTTCATTGGCCCCAAACTTTTCTGTCACTTGCAAATGTGTGACTGATTCAAGTTTAAGGTAAAATTTATATTGGCATTTTATTGACCTACAAAATTCAGCTGATATATGATACAAAAAATTTAATTAATATATATACCTTGGCGAAAACCTTGGAACCATTTAGCAGAGAGTCTGGGGATATGGGTGAGATTTCTTTTGTAATCAACATAACAAAATCCGAACCTTGGATTCAACCCCTATCCCCACTCAAAATCATCAAATGCATTCCAATGAAAATACCCTCTCACATTCACTCCTAACCTGCCTCATTAATATTATTACACAAATATTAAACATAAGATTGGGTTTTAATAATAATAATAATTATTATAATAAGATTTTTAAAATAACTTACTGAATTGCATTTTTTATCCGATACAAATGCTGACGAACAAAGCTAATCCGAAATGGATCCTTTAGTGAAACATCAACTGGAAGACTATCGTTTCGTATCTCAGCAATCCCTATACAGAAAAGTAACCAAGGTTTACCAAATAATTTAATGCCATAAAATGACTTCAGAAATTACCAATTACCATTCTCAGTAATGTATATTATTGGCCTTCCGTAAACTTTATGCATCCATACTAAGATTTTCTCCACCCCAACTGGATAAACGTAAATGAAACCGCTTCCTTCAGCCAATTAAATGTAATCCAACATGTCAAAATCCACCAATTTAGATTATATATATATTAAAATCAATGTTTCTGTTCACAAACATGCAAGTGTGTCATCTAGAAATGAATGAATCAAGAAGATGATGAGAATTAAAAAAAAAAAAAAAAAAGTAGTTAAAACATATAGATATTTAATATGAATATGAAATGTTTGTATTAATGGTAATGTGAAGGGATTAAACACATCCATCAACCAATTAATAGGAAGTGAAGGGATTAAACATATCCACCAACCAATTATATTAAACCACATGTAATCAAAAATCCTGTACATCTACATATCTCATATCATCACCAATTACATGCAATCAAATGTACATTTCCCACATCATGACTAATTAAATGCAGTCACGTGTCGAATCATCAAACATATCAAAATCCACCAATTTTAGAGCTTTAAAACTCCTGCCTGCTTATCAATCAGAGAGGTCACACTTTAGGGGATATATATATATATATATAAACAACTTCTTACTATAAGATCATTCTATGAAGCACACTTTGCTCATCCCCTGTTTGTTTTTTTTTTTTTTTTTTGTTGTTTTTACTGGCTAAATTTTTAAATCACAAATTAGTTTCTGAAAAAAATTCTTTCATTTTCCAAAACGTAAACAAATAAAATGAAGGAAATAAATATAATGTATGATTACAATAAAAATTACTTTCTAATGAAATCTCACTATTTATCTTGTTGCTACTGGAGATTAGAGAGAAGAGAAGTCAGGTTGAGAAGATTATGAGAAGTGTAATTTTGAAAATGAATTATAACCTATTTAAATTTTACGATATATATATATATATATATTTTTTTTTTTTTTAAATTTTGGGACTTACAAAGAATATAAAAATGGAATTTAAATAACATCACGTTTAGATAATGTTTAAGTGGGTGGCCAACAGCATCGATCTCTTTGAAATCTTAAACATAAAATTTAATTAAAATTCTCTGTTTTTAGTTTAAAAAATAATTAAAAAAAAAACAATAATAATAAAAATGGTCCATATATTTCTTGCATAATTGGCTTAGTTTTGATATGACACCAATTCATTTATAAATTTATACAAGATTCGGCTTCAAGAAAATGACCAGTAAAACAATTTTAATTAATAAACCAGAGAAATTATTCTGAAATTAGTAAATCCCTTACATTCTTCCCATCCTGCATATCCAATTAATTTAAAAATAGATCAAGACATTATCCATGTGAATATTGAATTAAAAACAATTAATTATCTTCTAGTTTAAATAAATCACATGGGTTGTTATTTTATTCCCGCCAAAAATAACGTCTTCTTATCTTCTTCCTCCTTCAGATTGGCATATTCTCAAAATTCCAATCTGATAAATAAAAAAAAAAATGATTATTATATATGCTTAACTTCATCTTCTTTTCAAATTTGAGAAGTACCTTCTTATCTGTTGAATAATTTAAACTGAAACGTATAAGATGAATGGTGGGCCTAGTAGAGCATCCCTCTATAAAAAAAATCCTATGGCCGGCCTTTGAACGAGCATTCATACTTAAATACTTTGTATTTACATGTAGTTGGATTGCTGAGTCAGACTGCGGAAGCTTAATTAGTTTCAGAAATGAAGAGTTTCTTGTCTCTGATATGTCTATTAACGATTTGGAGTTTACTGCAAACAGTAAAGTTGGGTCCATTACTAGTAGTTGTTGAAGCTGATAGTGGGAATGCTGGTGTTCAGCCATTGTCAAAGATTGCTATTCACAGAGCTCTTTTTGCACTTCACGAAAATGCTTCCGTCAAAGCCTACCCGCTTGTTCTTGGCCAAAAGGTGATTTTAATTGGTTTTTGAAAATTTCTTTTGCAGACAGATATTTATTCTGTGTTTTGGCTGTTTGAAGTTGTATTCTTGATTCGTTTTAGGAGCAAATTTTATGAGATTGAATAAATTAATTGGTTTCAGCTCCTATTGTTCTAATGGCTGAGAAAAGAAAGTTGTTTTTGAATATTTTATTCTTTCATAGCTTACATCGAATCCATTGTGTAACATCTTTGGTCTTTCCGTTGCTCCAATATTGTGATTGATATGTAGATGTTCACTAAATTGCTTAATGGACGATAGTCTTATTTGGAAAACTATCTATCCCTTTAGTGTGTCCAGCCATTGATGACTCATTTTTCAAGCTACTAGCTTTGTGGATCATGCTTCAGGCCAAAAATAATTAAGGAACCCTATAGAAGAAGCATTAAGAACTTCCGAAGATCAATTCAACTGCATTATGAGACCAATCATAAAATAATTATGTTATAGCCTTGTGTTCTTTTATTTATCGGAATTGTACTTTTCTTGCATCCTATTATTGACAGAATGTATGTCCATGAATTATGCATTTCATGTTGAACTGCATTAGATTCCATATTTAAAATGTGTAATTGAACAGCATTGAATCCTACATTAAACTTATGGCTATAGCAAGAATAAAAGTATCCCTAAACATAAAGTTCTCCCAAATTTGCAGTCAATTGTCTTAAGCAGCTAGTGACTATGAGATTAGTGATGTTCAATTTGGTTGTTTGTGCAGGGGGAAGATTCTCAGTGGGTAACCGTGGGACTTGAATGCCCTGACCCTTCTGCAGATGATTGGGTCGCAGTGTTTTCCCCTGCATATTTCAAGTAATGTCTCCTGCCTTGCCATTTTGTTTATTTATTCTTTATTATTATCATAGTTTTTATGTTCATAGTATAGTTGCCGACATTCAAACAGTTATGCTTTAACTGAACTTAAAGAACCATTAAGTGAGGAAGTAATTCTATTATCACAGCTCATCGACATGCCCAACTGATGATGTTAGGCAACAATCTCCAAATATATGCTCAGCTCCTATCAAGGTATGTATTACTGTAATGTTAACTTTTCTCTGGAAATTGTAGAATGGCAGTGAAGTTAGCTTTTCTGATCAATACCAATATGCCATGTACAAATGTTTCCTCCTTTGCAGTACAAGTATGCCAACGAATCCAATGATGACTACTCAAAGACAGGAAAAGCTTCTTTGAAATTTCAGCTGATCAATCAGCGGGCAGATTTCTCATTTGCATTATTTTCAGGTGGTTTATCAGAAGTAAGTCTCAATCAAACTGTTCTCCCTCATCTTTGGTAGTTATTGTCATACCTGTAGCTTTTGGATTTCCAAATGGCAGTTCAAGTTTAGACTAATAGTTGATGCTTTGTGTATTTCAGCCAAAACTGGTAGCAGTTTCAAATGTTATAAGTTTTGCAAATCCAAAGGCACCCCTTTATCCACGTCTTTCTCAAGGAAAATCTTGGAATGAGGTAGGTCTATGTTATAATAATCTCCATCATTTTCTATGAACATCTTGATTTCATTCTCAAGCTGTGGCTGAAGGTTTAATTATGAATCAAATTAAACTTAGCCTTACTCAATATTTGTTTATCTTCCCTCAGATGGCTGTTACCTGGACAAGTGGGTATAACATTATTGAAGCTGTACCTTTCGTTGAGTGGGGTTTTAAAGGAGAATCACAAACTCAATCACCAGCTGGAACTTTAACATTTCATCGAAACAGCATGTGTGGTATGATCCATGTTCTCTTGATCGATAGACTTTGCAATAGTTTGACCATCTAACTATCATGCTTTTTACCCTAAACTGGGAAACAAGTAGCTAGAATGTTTGATGATTGGGGGCCATGGTAGTAACAAAATTATTATCATAACGTGCAGCTCCACCGGCACGAACAGTAGGTTGGCGTGATCCTGGGTTCATCCATACAAGTTTCTTAAAAGATTTGTGGCCAAACTCTCTGTATACAACTAAACTGGCAAATTTCATGTCTTGGCACATGCTGAGGTGTATGACTGATTACTGTAATTAACTCAGTGAGATGATTGTTGATTCAGGTACTCTTACAAGCTTGGTCATAGGTTACTTAATGGTTCCTATATCTTTAGCAAGACCTATTCTTTCAAGTCATCACCATTTCCAGGGCAGGACTCATTACAGCGTGTTATAATATTTGGCGATATGGGAAAGGTAATGGCAACAGAATGTCTTTTGGAAGAATTAGAAATGCAACTTGATCATTTGCAACTAACTAATGGGAGAGCCATGCCTGAAAAATGAGACAAAATAAAGCTCATTTCTTTCTCTTGTATTTCCGAACATGACAGATATTGGATGCAATGAATCTGTGAAGAGATAAATATTCTTCTCATCTGTTTCAGGCAGAGCGTGATGGTTCAAACGAGTACAGCAATTATCAACCAGGCTCACTTAATACCACAGACCAACTCGTCAAAGACATGAAAAACATCGACATAGTTTTTCATATAGGAGACATTACATATGCAAATGGATATATTTCACAATGGGATCAGTTCATATCACAGGTGGAACCCATTGCATCTACTGTGCCATATATGATTGCAAGGTTTGCATCTTGAAAATGTTTTTTTGTTGCTAGGCATGCATAACGAAGTTATAGCTTCATAGGCATAACTTCATGCCAGTTTACAGTACTTAAACTAAGTTATTCATCTTGCAGTGGCAACCATGAACGTGACTGCCCAGGGACAGGATCCTTTTATGACCATAATGATTCAGGTGGTGAATGTGGTGTGCTAGCTGAGACAATGTATTATGTTCCAGCTGAGAACAGAGCTAAATTTTGGTATGAAAACTTGATTTCTTCTCCACATTCTTCTGTAAGGTTATTGGAATGGAAGATTGATATAAAAGAGCAGAGAACATTTAGAGTTGATAATTAAGAGAGTGACTTTACCTACTAGCTAGCTATAGGGAATTACAATTATATTAATTCTCCATTGCAGGTATTCAACAGACTATGGCATGTTTCACTTCTGTATAGCTGACAGTGAGCATGACTGGAGGGAGGGTTCTGAGCAGTACAAGTTCATTGAGAACTGCCTCGCGTCAGCAGACAGACAGAAACAGCCTTGGTTGATCTTTGTTGCTCATCGTGTTCTTGGGTATTCCTCGTCCTACTGGCAACAAGGTTCTTTTGGGGAGCCCATGGGAAGGGAGAGCTTGCAGAAGCTATGGCAAAAGTACAAAGTCGACATTGCATTCTACGGACACGTCCATAACTATGAAAGAACATGCCCCATTTACCAGGTATAAATTTAATCATGAAGCTGTCTTATTGTTTTCTTTCTAGTACATGGAACATAACTTCATTAATGGAAGTTACATGTCATGATCTTAGTTTTCGCCAAATCTGATCTTCGAACTTGAATGAATTCAATGCAGCACCAATGCGTCAGTACAGAAAAATATCATTATTCAGGCACTGTGAATGGAACAATCCACATCGTTGTTGGTGGGGGAGGGAGTCACTTTTCAGATTTTGGCCCTCTACAACCCAGTTGGAGTCTTTACAGTGATTCAGACTACGGATTTGTCAAACTAACAGCATTCAACCACTCTTCACTTCTCTTTGAGTACAAGAAGAGTAGTGATGGACAGGTTTATGATTCTTTCACCATTTCAAGAGACTACAGGGATGTTTTAGCTTGTGTTCAGGATGGCTGTGAACCGGTCACCTTAGCTTCATGAAGTAGCTTCTTTGTTACTAGAATACCTGCCTTACTCCATTGACTAGAAACTTCTACTCCTCCATCGTGAATTTACAAAAATGCGGATCAGCAAAACTTGATTGAAAATTGTTTGTGCTAAAAACCAATTGGAAAATTTTCATGTTTATTCAGTAATCAATTATAATTGTTGATCCTTCATGTTGACTATAAGACACTTAAAAGTTAAAAGTCTGTTTAGAGATATTTAAACAAAAATCTTTGTATATATTTCTATTTTATATTTTGAATATAAAAATAAATACAATTTTAATTATTTGAAACTATTCATAAATGTCATAAAAAATGTATAATTTAGAAGCCTTAAAACTAATCATAAAAAAGCCATAAAAATGAGTCACTACAAACAAAACTCTAACTCATAAAACGGTATTAAAGGAAAAAAAAAATGAATGAGATTATTAATTTATAGATGTGTAATTTCAACCCAACTAGTCTTTAGTCCAAACAATAAGTTTGTTTTGAGATGCACTTGAAATTATACAGCAATATGTAACTTTCTTACTATTACTTAGGTCAAATTTCAGAGAAAATAATAATTTTCCCATTTAATTGAGGTGATCTAAGGCTCATAAATTGATTTAGATTCTCATTTGAATAAATTTGAATATTAGGGTTCTTACTTTGAAATTGGAGGTTTTCAAATTTAGTCCTTCCTTTGTGATATTTACTTGATAATGGGTCATATTTTTGACAAAATCGTTGATTTCTTTTTGGTTTAACCAACTTTTGTTGTTGGAAGATGATGGAATCTGAATAATCATTAAATGGTGAATGTGGTTCAATGTTAATAGGTTTGGATTCGAGATTGGCGGTTTAGTTTTGAAAATCAATGATTGATTCTCAAGATTTGTTTATTCAGGTTTTGATTCGAAGAAGAAGAATCGATTGAAGAAAGTGGGGTTGTATGAAGGAGCTCTGAACATTATAGGGTACCCAGAATCGCACAGTACTGATTCTGATTCCTTAGGTTTTGGGTTGGGTACCCGAACTCGCTCAGCCCTAGTGTTGGGTTGGATTTTTTTTTTTTTCAATTTTTCAATTTTAATTTCAATTTATTGATAATTATAACATTTATTTATGGGAAATTTTAAGTGAACCCCCTCGCATTTGAGGAACTATAGAAAGTACTAGCTAGTTTCAGAAATAAGGCCTTAGCCTCCACTCCATCCAAGATTATTAATGAAAACCCATTAATAGGTAAAAAGACAAGTTTATCCTTGGAGAAAATTACACACAAAACCTTAATAGCCCAACCACCTTCTGCGGCCAACTCCACTGCCTCCAACCACCACGTGACATTATTGGAGGCCTCCATGGTCTCATGGCAACCACTAGAAGCCTTGAGAGCCTTAGAGCATCTCCAATAACACTCTTTATTTAAAGATCAATTTTCATACAAACAAAGAACATCTTCATTAATTTATAAATATAAAAAACAAAAATTTTATTCAAATCCAATAAACTCTTTAAATTTTAATTCTTCATTTTGCATTTTCCCACAAAGCATTTACGATTTTAATTTTTTTTCCCTCCTTTTCTTTTTCCTAAATTTCCCTCTTTATATTTCATTACTTGCCCTCCATTTTTCAATGGAACCAATATACAAATTTCCATTACTACCAGCTTGAAAATTCATGTTTTAGAGAAAAGAAAATAGAGCATGAATATATATACAACTCAAAAGACCATTGTTGGGAGGAAAAACGTTTTTTTCAAGAAAGGGACTTAATAGGAGAGAGAATTAATAAATAAAATGTATAAAAACTTGTAATTTATTAATTAAAATTAGGATAGAGAGTGAAATTTGACTCTCTAGATGTGGAGAGTCAAACTCACTATTTAATTTATATTTAAAGAATAAAGAGTCTGTTAGACTCTTGTTTTTGTGAATAAACTCTTTATAATAGAGAGTTTTGGTCATATAAAGAGTCATTTGGAGATGCTCTTAGAGGCCACCGCTTGTCAGCAGAGGCCTCATGGCATCCACGAAAGGCTCGAAAGCCTTCATAGCGACGTTGATAGAGACCAAATGAGGCCTCTTGGTAGCCGTTATGGCTAGATCTGGCCCGTGGAAATTTCATAGAGGCCGGGTTTGGCGTTTACCATCGTCGAAAGGCTAGATGTAGCCTTGATGCCGGTGAGGCCATTTTCGGCCTCTTGGTGTCGATAGAGGTCAAATTTGACCCTATCAACACTTGTAAAATCCAGATCGGACCTTTACGCAATCAATAGTGGCTTGATCAAACCTTAGTGAAGGGCATTAAGGCATTTGCTATAGAGAGAGAGAGAGAGAGAGAGAGAGAGAGAGAGAGAGAGAGATGGAAGAAGTAAGGGGAAATAGGAAAAAGAAAAAACAAGAAGAGGAAAATGAGAAAAATAAAGCTAGGGTTTTCCTAGGAATGATGAAAAAAAACCCTCTTTTAAAAGTCAAATTACAAGTTTACCAGCTTGTTAGTTAAGCTTAACGGTAAATGTTTACAGAATGGGGGTTAGGGTCCCATTTCCAATACTTGCAGGTACTTGGTAATTTATGAAACACATGGGGGTTTACTTAAATTGTTTACACTTTTACCTTTCTTTTGTTAAAACATATGACATATGTGGATGGACTAACGGTAGAGGTTTCTTAGTTATTATCCATATTTGAGGGGTTTATTTGGATTGGGCTTAACCTTGGGGGTTTAAATTATCCCATAGTTTCTAAGATGCAAGTAAGTCCCCGTATTTTTTAGATTGCACTCATTTAGTATTCATATTATTTCATTAGTGTATTGTGTAATCAAGAAAATAAAAAATAAAAAAATTCATAATTGATATATAATAATAATACACATGAAGGAGTTGAGTTAACAAAATTAAAGCAAGATGGATTCAAGTGAGAGAATTGAGAGATATAGGGCTTAGTTAGTATAGGACATAAGCTTTGATACAAGCTTTACAGAATAGGAAAACGTGGATACTTTATCTGAGACAAAGCATTCAAGGCTTTTTTATAGGCTACAAATCGCCTCGCACAAGTGAACTAAAACCATTAGATCTTACGACCAGTTGGCATTAATCTAAGGGTAGTTTACTAGGACACATGTAAATTTCATTTAATAGCTTCATGATGTGAGATGATAAACCCTTTAGGTGGAATACCACACAAATAATATTTGTACATAATACTCCCCTTAGGATTTCTACCATTTATAGATAGAGTTAATGACATGTTCCCACCCAAAAAAAAGCCAATTGACAAATTCATACCCACACACTTTTTAAATGCCCTTTCAATACCCACAGCACAATTTTTTAGTAATTTTTGTTGTGAGGAAGGGAAAAATGGTCTAAAGTCCGTTATTATAAGGGTAGAATGGTCAACAAACATTTGGACACTAGAGAAGAAGAAAAGATAAGGGCCGACGCACAGTAGCAGATCACTATTGGCAATTTTTGCTGTTTTCTGACCAATCTCGACATTCAAAATCACTTCTGAGACCACCCACAGAATCCCTATCACCTCCTCTACAAAGCCCAAGCCTCCATTTTCGGTCATCACTCACCATTTCCCACCACCACCTCCATTCGCACGATCGACTCTTCAAGCTAGATTTTCGGTCAATTTCTTTGCCAAAAATTCAACAAGACATCACCATCACCATCACACTCCCCACAACCCACTCTACAAAACCCTTACCTCCATCACTGTCCCTTGCTCGTCGATCGCCAGCCGTGCATCACGGGCCCTTTAAACTTTGAAGCTGATTTCTGGTCGTTTTCGGTGTCGGAAATCGTCTGTACCACAACCAATTGACTCTTTAGATCTTTCTTTCCAAAAGCCCCAACATCCCCGATCCTGTTTGCTCATCAATTGCCGACAATTGAAGCTTCCCCACCCTAGGGTTTTTCGAGTTTTGATAAGCTAATTGGGTTTGATTCGTTCAGTTTTTGTGTTTGTTGGGTTGAAAAACAATTAAGGAATGTTTATTTGCAGTATTTACGATTTGTTTGTTGATTTTCTGGTCACCGACACTCCCCAATGTCGGCGGCAATTGCTGGCAATGGAAGAGGCTAAGAAGAGAAGAAAAAAGAGAGGTTTTTTTTTTTAGTAAATTACTTTAATTCCCATCCAAATCAGAGGAAAACCTAATATTTGGGTAGTAAAAGGGTATTTTAAAAGTTTAAGGGTCGAAAAGTGTCAGTGGGCCATTTTTTGGGTGGGAATATGCCGTTAACTCTTTATAGATAATTACATAAACTTTACTAAAGAAAAACCCAATGGGATAAAAACGAAAGCCAAGAAACATAATTATTTGATGTTTTGTAAAATGGTGTTGGATGTGCTCAAACTATCTCATTAAAAACCTTGCCATAAAAACGCAATTGGACAAAACCTGGTCAAGGGAAAAAGAGTATAATGCATATTTTGTCCAATATTTTGATTTCTTCAAGACTTTGCTCCCCCTCATTAAAGCATAAGTTGTCATGAATTAATTTAGTTGTTTGCTGAGTCACCTATGCAAATGTTATACACCAATTTCTCAAAAGTTAATTTCGGTAACTATATGCACTCTTGGTTGGCTTCATGGAGAGCTTAGAATTTCTTAATGATGTTGCTCCAACTTTTGCTTTGTAAGTGTGTCACGAAATTGTTATGCCATTTAAGAAAAATAATTTCCTGCTTGCAAGTGGGATTTGCGGGGATAAGATAGGTACCCAACATCCGTATATTGAACACAAATGATATGTCTGGTTTGGTACATTGTGCTAAGTGTAATAGTGCAGTAATTACATTAAAATATGGTACTCCAAGATCAAATATCTTTTCACTATTGTCTTTAGAATGAAATAGATCCTACTTAGGATCAGGAAACCAAACCATCATTGAGGTACTCAAGGGGTGAGCCTTAACTATATTAAGCCTCTTTTAGGATATGTTCAGTATAAATTGACTAATGAACCATTTACTCATTTGCATTATGCTCGGTCTATTGGCCAAGAAAGTATATTGGTTTCCTTAGATCCTTTATTTCTAATTCTCTTCTTATGTATTTAGCAACCTTTGTGGGCTCTTTAAGAGTTCAAATTAAGTGTATGTCATTGACACATATTATCACAATTG